CACGACGCATCGATTCGTTTACAAACGCTCCAATTTTCCGACGCTTTCACGGCTTGATCGAATCTCGCTTGTTGTAATAACCGCGAATTCGCATCGACGCGAATGCAATTGCATCGCACACAGTGTCGTGCACGATTCTGCCACAATACACAATTCGCAATATGTAGCGTACCTTCGTACGATCGCCTCGTTGCACTGTTCGCACATCGAGGTTTTTTCTACTTCGCACACGGGAAATTTTCAAGCAACTTGTAATATATTACCGCGTATACACGACGTACACGCACGCGAAACGTCCCACGGCGGAAACAATCGGAGAAAGACAAGAAGAAAGGGAGAGGATTAGAAGCCAAAACGGCCAGCTGCTTAGCCAGTAGAGAGACGACTGGTTTTGTGTTAGCCGACTCATAGGCTATACACCGTACACGGCACGGAGGAGGCTGGGGTCCAGCATTACCCCTCCACCAGACGATACACAGAGCAAGTGTGCCTGTCCCCCCTGCAATACGCACGTACAAGTCTTCTATGCGAGTATGCATGTTGTATGTGTTTGTACCAATGCACTCTCTTTCTCTCTCTCTCTCTGTTTCTCTCTCTCCCGTCTCTTGTGGCTCGACCCTACGCGAGATGCTTGCAGTCTCGTTTCGCACTATGCAACTCCGCAGAGGAACTGCAAGCGTTGCACTCCGCGTGAGAGTCGAGTAACGTCTGCGCGCTAAAAAATCGTGGGAATTAAGAGCGGAGAGCTGCGTCGGAAGAAACCGAGCGATACGTCTGCATCGTCGTTTAATGACGTAACGTTATGTCTCTGACATTGCATATGAAAATAAATGCGCGTGCGCAATCGCGTTGTTGGGACATTTTTATATTCCCGATGTGTGAATTGTAATAATTACGCAATATATTTATAATGTTTGCGAAATTACAAGATTCATGCAGCTATCGTTCCATCTCATCAATTTTCCGCGTAATTAAATTTCAGCGATTTATACAGATTCAAACCGCGAGAGCGTGCAACGTCCCAGATAACGTACAATTATGTATAGTACAATATTCACTCGATAATAATGTAGATCATAGAAAAGTACAAATCGAATCGGATATTGATTCGAGGGGGGAACGTTGTTTACAACGGGGGCCTATCTGCCCCTCGTTGCATGCCGGATCATTAATCGTGGATCGGAGCGATATCTTAATCGCTTGTTACTTTCCGTTTTATTTTTTACAAGAGATCAAATACCTCGGCGTGGCATCGAGCATTATTTTCAACCCATCTCTTTCAGCCGTGACGCGATACTATCAATTCAGCTTTTCTCGCACGATTCGCCGGGATTTACGAAACACTTAATCCTTAATTGTTCGCCTTATCAGAAATCGAAAAAATTCGCCTATCCCTCTTGTGTTGCGCTTAACATTAAAAGATAACTTTGCAGCGCTAAACCTTCTTTCTTTCCAAATAAATCTCAAACAAATAAAGTTTGCTCTCTCGAAATTTAACAACAGTATAAAGTCTACAATTTTATATTAAAATTAAAAATATATCTTATCGATAATATATTGTCATATTTGCAGAGCGATCATTTGTCACATCTTACATCCGATTCTATTGAAAAATCCCATTCTCTGATATTAAAGATTAATTCGTTGTCACTTTGTAAAAAAATCTGCATCACACATTAAATCTGTGTGTGTATGTTGTGTGATTGCATTCGATTCTCTCAAAGCTTCTAAAATAATTGCATCTCACCGCACCGCGCTGTTGCATCTTTCTCTATTCATCTCTCGTTGCATACCGTCGCGGGAATACAGAAATAGCTTATCCGCTAAGGGATTTCGGAAGGAAGAAAGAGAGAGATAGAAAGAGAGAGGACGCCAAAAGCGCGAGCGAAGAGAGAGAGAGGACGAGAACAGAAGCAGAAGGGGAATGGAAAGAGAAATGACAGAAAATACGAGCGGGAGTTACGAGTTACAGCGGAAAACGGTGGATTATGTGTGTTTAACCCTCCCTGGCCCGCCTGCCCTCCTCCTTCGACCCCTCTCTCTGTCTCTCCTACCCTTCGCCCACGTTCGCGCTTCACGTTCGCCGTCGCCCAAACGCGCTTCCGAAAGCCCCCGAGTTATGTTTGAGCACGAAAAGTAAACTTCGACTTCGTGGCGACGTGAGGCGCTTTGTGAGGATTAGGTGGCCGCCAACCGGGTGAATCGATTTCTTTGTTCCGACTTCCGCGCCGCGCAAAGGATCGATTCTCAACGGACGGAATCTGCTACATCGGCGGCTGTGGCGGCGACGTCAAGGTCTGTTGAATCTTTGCTCACT